CTGTCCTTTTGTTCTTCAGTCTAGTTGTGGAGGACATCGCTTCACTGGCCCATGTTGGTATTATCATTGCGCTCTTCCTGGGTGAGGCAGTCGCTCGCTGGCCATTGGACGGCCACTCACGGAGGCTCACGGCAGCTCACGCTGGCTGCTGGCTGCTCATGCTGGCTGCCAGCCACTCACTGTAGCTCACAGCAGCCCACTGCAGCCTACGCTGTCATCAGTGACTCTCAGCATCCCACCTCCAGGTTGAGCTGTTGTTTACTATCTTAGCATCATTGGCCCTTATGTGGGATCCTAACCTGGACCCTGCTGCTCAGAGCTGGCGTCCCAAGCCAACTCTTAACCAACATGCCACTCGGCCGGCCCTCTAGTCATCTTAATTATTTGGTAACTTTGATTCATGTAAGTTTTTGCAGATGGTGGGAAAGAGTAAAGATGTGCAATAAAACATTGTATACAACTTTCCAGAAATCGGAGTATGCAAAATTACCAGGAAGTACAGGGGCTCCTTATCCCCATAATTTTTGGTGGTTTTTCCCACCAAGATATCAAGCCCTCAGCTTACTATTCAGTACCCATTCAATCTGACCTCGGTCCATCTCTCCAGCTGAATCCTTACTACTTGTCCTATTCAACCCTCTACTCCTGCCAAACTCTACAAGTGCAGAGCAGATCTTATGCTTTTCCTCCCTGTTCTTTATCTGTTTCTGTGTCTCCCTTTTATTAATAATGTTATACCATCTGAAAACTCCTCTCTTTCTATCTACCTTTTCTTAAAATACCATTTTTTTTTGAGGGAAGAAATGTCTCTGTAATAGTAATACATTTTCATTGTAATAAACCTGGACAATACAGTAGTCTCCCCTTATCTGCGGGGATACATTCTAAGATTCCTGTAGATGCACGAAACCATGGATAGAACTGAACCCTATGTATACTATTGGGTTGTCGGAAAAGTCATGATGCATTTTTGCAACAAAAAAACATAGAAAAAATATGCATACATACTTATGATAAAGCTTAATTTTTAAATTAGGCACAGTAAGATTAACAACTAATAAAATAGAACAGTTATTACAATGTATTGTAACAAAAGTTATGTGAATGTGTTCTCTCAAAATATCTTACTGTGCTGTACTTAACTTTTCATGTAAAAGAAGCACGTTATGGATATTCTTTGGCATGTCTGAATGGCTAGCATCACTACTCTGTGCTTTGGGCCACATTAAGTAAAATAAGAGTTGCTTGAACACAAGCACTTCGATACCTCGACAGTCGATCTGATAACTGAGATCACAGCTACTAAGTGACTAATGGGTGGGTATGGAATACAGTGTGGATACACTGGACAAAGGAATGATTCATGGCGTGGGGTGGGGCTGAGTGGGTCAGTATGAGATTTCAGTATGCTGCTTAGAATGGTGCACAATTTTAAACATATATTGTTTATTTCTAGAATTTGCCATTTGATCATGGGAAATTGAAGCTGTGGAAAGCAAAACCACAGATGGGGGAGCTACTGTACACATAAAGTTTTTTTTTTTAATTATGTAAAATTTAATTACCTAAAGGTAGTTACTATTTAATATTTTAGTGTGTTTTCTTCTTTTCTTAATGTCTTAATTTTTAGAAATGAAAAAATAGAACAGTATAAAGAAGAAAATAGCTATTCTATGTATTTTCATCTCCTAAATTTACTGTTAGTGTATTAGCATTTTTGTTATCAGTCTTTTTAATGAAAATTCCTGTTAAAATTATTGTAAAAAAAATACATGCTCATTTAAAAATTTTTAAACAATGTAGAAAAATAAAATTAGAAAAATCACCCTAAATACTACCTATAAATAATCATTACTATTAGGTGAATATCATACCAGTCTTTTCTATGTATAATACAGATAAATAAATAATAACAATGGAATAATAGACCTATTTTGCATAGTGGGTATGTCATTTATTCTATATTTAAATGGAATGATTGCTCATTATTTAGTCCTTTTACCATTGCTGAGCTCTGTATTTTGGTTCAGTTCTTACCTGACAAGATTTTGTTAGAAGTTTTTTCAGGAAGGGCTCAGAAATGCTATCTTCAATGGATTTTTTCATGTTTGAGAATGCCTTTAAACCAGAATATATTTTGGATGAATATAATATTTTGAGGTAATTATTTTTTGGAAAATTTTAATAGACTTTGCTTCATTGTCTTCTAGCATAGAATTTTACTGTGGAGAAATCTGAGGTCAGTCTGATGTTCTCTGCATAGGGAATCCTATCCCTAACCATGATACTCAATAGCTTTTCTAGGGCATAGTTTGGTATTGAGTATTTAAAAATCTGTAGATTTTATTTTTTCCACATCAGGGAAATTTTTCTGTACCTCTGAATACATTTCTTCTTCAGGACAACAAATATTGATATGTTGAATCATCTTTGTCTCCCATATCTATTGACTTTCCTCTGCTGTAATTTCTCCCTTTTTCTTTGATGTCTACTTGTGATTATCTTAAGCCAGTAATTCAGTTTTCATTTGTGTCTGTTCTGTCTCTTGCCATTTTAAATTTATTAGTTCTGCACTGCTATTGTGTGGGTATTCAGTTTGTTTTCTAGGGCTTCAATCTTTTCATCTTTCTATAGTTTTATAATCTGATTGAGTTGTTATTTTATTGAATTTATGTGCTTATGTTGTTCTACATTGTGAATCAGTTGTGAGGAATTGCTCTTTGTTCCTTGATGTATATTATCTCCTAGGTTGAGTTTTTTTTTCTTTTAAACAGTACATTTCTTTCTTGTTATTCTTTTGTTTTTGCTGTTGCATATGTGCATATTACCATTCAGGTTTTTTTTCATTTTGCTTTGATGTGGTGTGAGTGATTTTTTTTGCTCTCCTTCCATTGTACCTGAGACTTTTTATTTTTCTTTCAGAACTATGATTTAAGGGCTGAGTATTTAATATTCTAGCCACAATTCTAAAGCATGGGTATGAGAAAAGGAGGAAGTGAAATTGGTAGAGAAAGGAGGAAGCTCAGCTAAGCTGTAGGCTGTGTTTTTAAAAAATAACTTGAGCTGTCTTCCTCTGAGATTTTGTTAAGTGTCCTGAATTAGGGTTCATGCCCACATGAGTGGGTATCTGTAGTGTTCAGATTGTTTGCCTAATTTACTGTATAATCCTGAAGTGTTTACTTTCATCAAAGAGAGTTGGCTCTGTTTCACCTTTGCCCATTTCACATTTTTGTTGTTGTTACTGTTTCCACTATTCCTTGGTCATAAAAGGGGGAAGATAAAGATACTCAGTTTTCTTCTCTCCAGATTTGTTGTTAGTGAGAAATTTCAGGATTTTGCTTGTCTAAGATTACACACTCACTAAGCTTACAGTTAGGATTTGTCCTCAAGTTTGACTCCAAGCTTATTATCATCATACTCAGTAAATGCTTGTAGACTGAATGCTTATGTCTATTTCTAGGCAAATTTGCCTTCATTAAGTAATTTTACTATATATTTATTTGCTTATTGATAACTCTCATTTTTTCTTTCTAGAAATGGGATTTGACCGATATAAAATGGTGGTGCAAGTAATGATTGGAGAACAAAGAGGTGAAGGAGTATTGTGAGTAGTTGGTTTTTCCTTCTTGTTTTTATTCTTATATATTTCTTATTAGGTATTCATCTTCTTGATGATTCAGTAAGATTGTGTCTTTGCAAGAGTATGAGAAAAGGACAGTATAACAAAATGCAGCTGTGAACCCAAGAGATCCTGCTACTGAACAGTGAAGTTGACAGTCTGGGTGAGCTCCATGGGGTAATTCACTTTTCACAGCATCTGTAGGCTAATATATGTTCCCAAGGAAAATAAAAGATTATGTATATATCTTTCCTCCCATACTCCTTGTTGCCCAGATTTTGGTCCTACCATTACCCTAAATTAATTTCTTTAAAATTGTCTGAGACCTCCTTATTAGCAAATCTAATAGCCTCTTCTTAGTTCTTGTCATTGGCCTGGGCTTCTAGTTCTTAAAATTCACTCTGGCTTTATTGGCCCTGATGTGACTTATCTAACTTGTTTCTCTCCTGTTTTTCTAACTGATTATTCTCTTTACTTCACTGGTTTCTCTTTATCCCCTGCATCCCCAGCTGTGTGCTTTCTTCAAGGCTCAGTTCTTCTTCTTCTGTTCTTCTCTCTGCCTTTTCAATGAGCTCATTCATTCTCATGACCTCCAACTGTCATTCCTGTATTGGTGAGTCCAAAATATGTACTTCCTGTCTTTTCCTATGCCCAAGTGTTAATCTCCTGTTTCCGTTTGTAACCAGTGCCTAGTATAGTATTTTGTAAGAAAGTACTAAAATATTTGTTGAGTGAATTTTAAAAATACCTTGTAGATAATATCACTGAGAATTTTCACTATAGAATGTTAGATTTGAAAGGGACTACAGATATTTTCTAGTGTGTAGTCCCCTTATTTTATAATGACATTTATGAGGTTCAGCATGATTTGCTCAAAGTGATAGATATGACTTGTATCAGGGTCACTAATAGAATCCAGCCTTCTGACTCCTGGCATAGTACTCTTCACCATGATTTCCTCTACCATTTGGCTAAAAGGCTTCAGGAGATTTCCTCACTACAGAGCGCCTAAGAAATACTTTACCATTCTGTCACCTCAGATTCAACGTGTTCAGAGTTCCGAATTTCTTCCTCTCCTTGAATCAGCCTCTCATTTAAATTTCTCTTTCACAGTATTACCAAGGTTCCATTGACTCAGGCTTAAAACCTTGGAGTCTTTTATCGTATTTAGTCATTACTGTCTCCCATTACATGCATTGTAATCTGGATGCCAGGGTTACTTAGCAGCCCCTTATCTTGACTCTCTGATCTCTCTCCTCTACAATTCATTTTGCAAATCAGACCGCCTTTCAGGAGTATACCTCACTTTCTTTCCACAAACTTTAGAGTTTATTGTAAACCATGTCAGGTATAAACACCTTAAACTGACTTGGATAAATGTGATCAAGCCAAACTCTAAAGCATGGCATACAAGGCCTCCCCCACCTTCTTTTAAAATTTTCATTGTCTAAAATTTCAAACATATGCAAAAGTATAGGAACTAAGGAATTCCCATGGATCTATTACCTAGCTTCAAAGGTTATCAACACATACCTATGTTGTTTCCTTTATGCATCTACCTACTTTCCCTGCCCCCACCAGATTATTACTTTTTATTAAATTTATTGAGGTGACATTGGTTAATAATATTATATAGATTTCAAGTGTACAGTTTTATAATGCAGCATCTATATATTGCATTGTGTGTTCACCATCCAAAGTCAAATCTCCTTCCATCACCATTTATTTGACCCCTTTACCCTCTTCTGTCACCCCCTACCCCTTAGTCTCTGGTAACCACTATACTGTTGTCTGTGTCTATGAATTTTGTTTTGTTTTGTTTTTTTCAATTTTATTGGGGAACAGCCATGGTCATTGGTTACACATTGCTTTCATGCTACAATAGCATAGTTGACTCTTTTAAGGAGGGTGCAGCTCACAGTGGCCCATGCGGGGATTGAACCAGTCACCGGCTTCTGGACGGCTGCTCATGGCGGCTCTTGGCAGCTCACATTGGCTGCCGGCCACTCACGCTGGCTGCCGGCCACACACGGTAGCTTATGGCAGCCCACTGCAGCTTCACTGCAGCCTACACCGTCACTGGCGACTCAACGGCAGCCCAACTCCAGGTCAAGCTGTTGTTCACCATCTTAGCTGTAGAGGGCAGTGTCACTGGCACTCATGTGGGATCCGAACCGGGGCCCTGCTGCTCAGAGCCGGCATCCCAAGCCAGCTCTTAACCAATGCGCCACTCAGCCAGCCCAAGAGTTTCTTTTCTACATTGTATGTTTTTGGCTCCTTTGTTAAAAATTATATGCCCATATACATCTGAGTTTATTTCTGGGTTCTCAATTCTGTTCCATTGACCTGCGTGTCTGTTTTTCTGCCAATAACATGCTGTTTTGATTATTGTCACTTTGTAGTATAATTTGAAGTCAGGGAGTGTGATACCACTGGCCTTGTTCTTTTTTTCTCAGGATTGCTTTGGCTATTCGGGTCTTTTGTAATTCCATACAAAACTGATGATTTTTTGTTCTACTTCTTTAAAAAATGCCATTGAGGGCCAGCCAAGTGGCGCGATGGTTAAGAACTGGCTTGGGACGCCAGAGGGCCCCGGTTTGGATCCCACATATGAGGGCCAGTGACACTGCCCTCTACAGCTAAG